ATGTTATTGGATGATATTATAAACGAGGACTCGTATGCGGACATCAAACGAAGAGCTATGGAAAGACAGAAATGGAGAACATGGGTGCCTAGAACCTGCCCTCGGGCAGAACACCAATGATGATGATTTTTAGATTATACTAAATGCATCGTGTTGTACAAAGTCTGTTAAAATCAACAATTTCGAGTTGAGTGACCATCGCAACTGAATCACTTTCTTAGAAACTCATTCTTAAGATTTTTTGCATGGAAACTTCAGAAACAATGTTTTCTTCAGAATTTCTTCAAAAAAATGTTAAAATCATGCTTTCTGCAAAAACTATGTAAAAATCTATCTCGACCTTATTTGCTAAATAGATGTTTGATTTTGCACGTTTTTTCCGGAAGGCTATTTCGCATTTTCGCTTTCTTTTTTAAAAAGATACTCACATTTTTGGCTAATTCCCGTCATTTTTGTTTTAAAAATGTTCCAATGGGTCTTCCCATGACTTGCAGAAAGTTTATATCTGCACAAGATCGGTCAAGTTTCTTGCTCATAAAGAGTCATAAACAAATCTTGACAAGATCTTGATCAAGTTTTAGTGAAAAATCCGCCTGCAAAAATCTTGATTCAGATCTTGAGCAGAGTTGACAACTTTTCTGAAGCCAGTGAAACCTTTGAGTTTTAAAATAAAACAAACCATTCACTGATGCTGTTGTATAGTAGACAAGTATAAAAAGTCAGTTAACATGATTTTTCGTAGTTTAATACTGCTGTTTCTCTCTCTAGAGATTGAGGAAACATAATGAAATATAATTGACCGAAAAATTCAACGTATAAGTTTGAAAGAAAGAACGTAATTAATTTTATGAAGACTGCAATGTAAAATAAGTTACTACTAATTGATTAAGTATATACAAAGTGTCGATCAACATTTCTCTTTCTGAATATGACCTTTTTCTTTTTCTTAATTCCCCCCGTGCCAAATGGAATGATCTTCGTTCTGCTGTATGCATACCACTTTTCTATTTCGCGCTCTTCTAGTCAAGTGCTGTTTTTTTCATCTAATTATAGTCAATCACTCATTTTGTCGAGAAACAATCCTAAATACGAACGTTATTTCGTCTCATTATCGTTAGGTGTTCCATATCAGGGTGATACAATATTGTGTGTTTCATTCTACATCAACTATTTGGTGACTGTGAATAGTAAAATAAGGTAAGATAGTTTTTTATTTATGTGCTCAACTAATACCAAATTCATGGAATGTATTGTTGGCTTTGCATGACTATCCAGGATTTTCCTCTTTCGTCTAGTTTTAAAGCGAAGGAATATCAAACGTAATTACTGGACATCAAATATTTTCAGTTTCTCTCATTAAAAACCCTGTAACGCGGGCAAACTTGGAGTTGAACGATTTGACGATGTATAGTCAAATCGTTCAACACTACCTTGTCGAACAACGTAAAAGGAAAGACAAGAATTAAAAACTGATCCTTCTTCTAGTAAATTTTCAATATACAGAGAGGGATTAATTGATTATACAGGTAGCATTCTGGGAAATGGCTGAAATTTTACCCCTACTCGCAGACTAATTAAAACGCTTACTGAGACTAAGTTTGATATTTCTTGTTTACGGTAACAATAAAGATCGTCTTTCAAGGATCATATTTTTCTTCGTTTTTAATTTTAGAATGTCAAGAGGCAAATCAACAAGGAGTAGCCGTCTATCGAAACCATCGTCAATATTGCGCGACAGTGACTCCGAAGATGAAAACCGCTATACAGCGTTGAAGTATAGTTTGGTATATTTTCCCGACGAACGACAACATGCTGTTGTATAATCAAGTATGGCTGAAAAAGGTCTTAATAAATTAGTAAGTGTTCGATACAATGGGAAAAGTTATGATGGGATACTGCTGTATGAAGGTATAAAACAGTAGTACTGATTTCTTTTCTATGTTATTTTATCAATGTATTGTTTCGAAGGAACGAGACAAGGGTGTAACAACAAAATATTTGAAATTCCGTTCCATTCTGATGGTGAGCTAACTGATTATGATCATCGATGTGGCAGTCGAACTACCATTGAACAACATGCAGCCTCAACAATAGCATTTGCTCCTATTAATCAACAATTAACGGTGAATGATAGAACTGATCAGATATCGAGGGCAACGTTGTTAATAGATGAAGTTTTGCAATCTACAGGAATTGATGATAGTAACAGCAGTAATGAAATACTAGGTCAGGAAATCACTGAGTGTAATTACTGGTTTCCTGCTTATTCTGTGAATCTCTATCTTTCTTCTCAACGCCCGCAGCAATCTAACTTGGAAGGTAAACTGATCATCAGCCCTTGTTCGCCATCCCTAGCGCTAATATATCAGCTATTTAAAGCTAGCCTAGCCCATAATTACAAGCATAAATATGTAATAGGCATTGAGTCAAGTATTCTGGAGAACTAAACCGCTTTCAGTTTCTGTTTAGTTCATGCTAATCGACATTTAACAAAAGAAAAACCAAAAGAATATACATCAGCGCAGGCATTAAATCAACAAACATCATCAACAACTACACATCATTCAAGTGATATCACGCCTATCAATGATACTAATGAACGTAAGAAATGTTTGGTACATTGAGCATCTTACAGTGCTGAATTTTGCATTTCAGAAATAAAAAATACATCACGTCGTATTGAAAATACACAAGCTACAACAAAAAGAGACATAAAAGCATGAAAGATATTGCATTATTATTAGTAAGTAAGCTATATTCAAAGATCTAATCCCCTTTTTTTCTTGATTTGAAAGGACCTTGTCGGATTTCATGACCATACTCCGATCGAGAAACCAAATACGTAGTTTTGTAGAGCAAGTTCAGGCGCGTCGAATGGTATATAGGAAGCTGTGTTTTCATCCAGTTTTCTGGGAACTAGAGTCCGTTTACCGTTACAGGGCTATGATTCAGATTTTGATATAAGTCTAGTAGATGTTTGCTCAATATGGATCACACTGCTCATCAGCGAGACCTATAAAAACATTTTTATATATACACTTTGGTAGAGCTTATCTCGGGCTACACGCCTATATATTTGATATCTCCAGTTGATTCGTTTTAAAAGAAAAAAAGAGGTTTTTCGTCAAGTCTTCATCGTTCACTATGAATAGCCAGGTTTCATGGGTATCGGTGTAGTGGTGCGTGCCGATCACAAAAGATGTGACCATCTGTCAAGTTTTGTCAGAAATTGCCCAAGACCTAGCTCTACAAAATGCACTATGTAGAAGCTTTCCAGCAGGGAGGCGTGCCACCCAAACGGCCCTCGCATTTAAATTTTCATTCCAATTTTACGGTCGTTTTTTACTTCTTTTTTTCCAATTTTCATTTTTTTTCTACTAAGTGCCACTCGCAGTCGAAATCTAAGACTATATTCGTGTTAAGCGTAAAAAACTACGTCGAATAGGCTATATCAGAAGCAGTTTAGAGAGCTTTTGGATATCTTCACCGCACATGTCCATGATTTGGAGCCTGGATCATAGAGTCCACCCTGTGCTTTGGCTCTGGAAGCTCAATCAGACGCTTGTTTTGCCAATATAAGTGCACTCTTTTATAGAGCACATCAAGGGCTACAAAATGCATTATCTCACTTCCCACTTTGAGCGAGTTATAGTGCAATAGCGGCTCTTTGATTAGAAAGTACCATGAACCCGTGAATGCCTCAAAAGTCCAATATGCATATTTTCTCAAAATATCGTCCGATGACACTGAAAATTTAACGGACACAGTTTTGGTCGCTCTTTCTACTGGTAACCTTAAAATTTCAAAAATGGCATAGCCAGATATACAAGGTTTTCTAGAGACGCTATGAAAAACCAAAGGTTTTAGAAAGAACCGTTTTTCGATTTTTACCATCAGAGGTTGTTGGTCAAAATCAGAAAGCTTAACGTAACAGACTGAAGTCTTCTTTTCTATCTATAAGGTACACCATGGGAGGATGATCATCGGCCACTATGCTCCTTTTTATTTGTCCAAACAGTAACAAGAACATGAATATTTTCAGTTGTCACAGCTATAGTTTTTGTTGGCTGTCACCTGTCACACAATGAGAATTTTTTCTTTGAATTTATCTGTCCTTATGGGTGGCTTCCATTTATTGTGTCGAGCATACCCGAGATACCAGAGTACCGCAGCCACATGACTACAACATCCCATGATCCGTTTTCCATCTTTGCATTGGCAAAAGTGGTCTTTGATTGGCTCATCAATATCATTTGAATCAAATTCAATGCAGATGTAGTAACGTGTACTACTTGAATGGCGGCTTTGAAGGCGACAGCGAATTAAACAACCGTTATCTGTAGTTCGAATTCATTGTCGTGATCGTATGAATGAGCCTTGGCATATGCTTTACTTTGCTTCAGTTGATATGTTGCACATGTACAGTTACGAAGAAAATCGATATCGAGTTCAGGAAAATCAAAATCGTCTTGCACATCGAGTAAAGTAATCCACTTTTCTCGTAACGAGAGCTGACCATTAGAAACTAGTTTTTCAATTCCATTCTTTCGATTTAGGAGCTGAAGCATCTTCTCTGCCATAGCCTCATACTCCAAAGACTTAGCATTGTAGAGTACAGAGCGGTGTTTGTTTAGACAAGCAACAACAATACGAGATAAGATTCCAATGTTAAACAAGAACGACTGATCTATTCGTTCGGAAAAAAATCGCCACTTTTTAAATCGAGCATGGAAAGATTCTACTATCCATCGGCATTTAGTTACCATACGAGATTCGTTTGCGGTTGACAACTGTTTGTCTCCCTTACTCAAAAGGCCAGGCATCTTCACGTCATATCCAAGCGCCACGAACTCTTGAGCTACGTCGCGAAATCCCCGATCAACGATTTGTACGTCTCCATCCTCGCATAGCAATGATAGATCTGTATACGTGTTCAAAATAGCACTTGAAATCGAAGCGTCATTGTTTTTCCATAAAATGGACCAATCAAATCCAGTACATAACCATCAGGAAAGACTTAACGCATCATTTTGACGAGATGTCGTGATTTATGTCCGGAATAGCACGCGCGTCGTAGTTCGTGGTTATTCGACTTATGACAATAGACATAAGTACCATCCCAAATAACTGACAGATGATCGCCGAAAAAGACTTTCGAATAGGCCGTCTGATGACTCAATGCGTCGACTCGAGTTAAATGACTAAGTCCGAGATGAGACGAAGCAACTGTGTCATTGAGGTTACGCATAACGACATGAAATGTGTCCTCGACACGACGCCAAATACTGTCCTCTGATGTGTCAATTCTGAATAAAGCACCAATCTATCAAAACGATAAACCAGTTTTCAACTTAACCCAAAATAAACATATAGCTTCAAATGGCGTCCAATGTTTTGCTGAATGCATCCGAGGAGAATCGAGTGTTGTCATTTGTTTAAGTTGTTCTAAGGTCCATCCGGACCAACTAATATAATCATCTTCAAACAAATTAGTGTCATTCTCACTTAGAAGTGGTGTAGTTTTAGCGTGTGAC